GCTGCTGCCTCGGCTGCTGTTACTGTCGATTGAACGTCAGAACAAAATTGAAAGCCAAATTAAGAGCGTCCGCAAGCGAGAGAGAGAGAGCGCGCGAATTCGAGAGAGAGAGCACGCGAGTGTGAGCAACTTATAATTCAAAGGAAATTAAGCATAAAAGTGAATAACTTTTCATAATTGCGTTGTGCGTTGTCAGCCGTTTTGGCATTTTACATGCGCTCATTCTTTGCATTTGTCGTGTGAACAAATAATAAGCAGAACCAGATTTGGACAGCCAATTGCGCACTCACACACAAGCATATTAACATATGTGTGCATGCGAATGCTCAGTCGCTGTTAAGCTTTGAGTGTGTGTGTGTGTGTGTGTGTTTGTGTGCGAAAGCTTATCTCATTCTCGTTAACTGTATTTGCTCATCATTTACATAAATATGTATGTTTGTATGTATGCACGTAGTCACATGGGTTAATCATTTAGGTTTGATTCTGTATTGTACAGAACTATTCTCCATATTTTCTTGCTATTCCTAATGCTAATTAAACGGCTTTAACTTTTAGCGCGAAGACTTGTAAATTACCAACTCATAAAATTCCCACGCATATTGTGGGACTTTTTTGGCAAGCGGAAGCCGTGGGGAAATTTGAGAATTTTAGGGTTAGGAATGCTGAAATTGAAATCTTATTTTAAGACTGAGATTTAACTGTGAAGAAATGACAACTTAATGGTTTTTTCGAGCGGGATTAACAGATTCGAAGTGGAATAATTTCTGCTGATGATTAATTTTTAGTATCAGCTGTAAACTTAGTTGAACTAAAACGATTAATAAAGTTCAATAGCAGATATGGCTGTGTGTGTGTGTGTGGAACCGCCTAGAATTTCACAATTTGCAATTTTGATATCAGCCATTTCTAATCTTATTTGTGGCTTGGTTATGAAAATAGATTTAACGACGCGTTATTGTTTTTCTTCTGTTCCACTTGCCCCCCGTTTGTGCTACATTTGACTAAACAGTTGTGCAGCAATTTAATTGTGGGCTTTACGAGTCCCACGCACTTTGCCACATTCCTCGCATTGTTCGCGGAGTCTCACGTGGGTCTTGGCTGCAATTCCGATTCCGTCTGTTGCGGCAGCAGCTGTAAACGTAACTGGATTTCGAGCCCGCGCACCCAGCCCCAGCCCCCGTTCTGTTCCGCCCGTTTGCATGCGCATACATTTGTTTGGCTTTTTATTTTTATTTTAATTAAATGTGCAAGCAGCTGCAGAAATTGGCAGCCGCTAAAAAAAAAGGAGAATAAAAATAAAAATGTAGCTCATGCATTTTTATTTTTTCTATTTTTATTATTTTTATTTTTTTATATACTTTTGCTCAGCGATATTTGATTGTGTTTGGCATTATTACAAATTCCAAGCGGCAGACCAGAGAATATTGCGTTTAATATTAAGTAAATATTTTGCTATTTATGTATGTACAGAAAGAATGAAAATATAAATAACAAGAACAACAACAACAACAATAACCGGAGCAATCGCCATAAAGTCGAGCACTTTAATTACGCAATCAACAGGCGCATATGCAAAAATGTTATTGCTTGTTATTATTGTTGTTGTCTCTTTCTTTTGTTGTTGTTGTCGTTGTTGTTGTTGTTATTGCTGTCGCTTTACGTTTCATTTCATTTGGTTTTTTGTGCTGTTTCGCATATATCATTTGCTGCGGCTGCTTTGCGCTTGTCATACGTCACAGGCAACAAGCCGATTAAATTGAGCGAGCAGAGAGACACTGTGAGAGAGCGAGGGGGGGCGAACGGGAGAAAGAGAGAGTGACCGCAACAGCATGTAAATGAAATGGAAATCAACTATTGAAACGCTGCCTCTTCGACTGCGCCTCTGCTCTGCCGCCCTTTGTTATTGTTTTAGCAGATTTTTAATATGTTTGTTTTAACTGCGACTCTCGAGTGGATTTTCACCCGCACTCGGTCAGTTGGTTAAATGGCATTTAAAGCGATTTTCAGTGCTGAACTTTTGTGGGCGGACAGGGGGCGGGTCATTTCAATGCGTGACTCATGACAGGCAGCAGCAGCGACTGCGACTGCAGTGTGTCAGCAGCGTTTATTTGCAACTATGTAAATACACTTACATAATATACCTGTATGACATGCAATTCACATTAGGAATGTTAAGTGGAATTAACAGAGCTGTTAATAATATCTATGACTGCATCTTCATGCGCATTGAGTCACGCATGAGACATATTCATCTAATTAGTCATTGTTTAGATAAAGTGTACACACATAGTCTACTTTACTTGCGCACCTCTCGATGACAGGGTATGCCCAAGGCAGAGCGAAAAATATCTACAAGCCGAGAAGAGCCTGCATGCAAATTAAAGCAGCGACCAGGCACACAGCATTTATGGCAAGGCGACTGAGCAAGACAGCTGGCTGCTGCGCTGCTGCTGCGGGCCACAGCGCAATGCAGAAGCAAAAGGCAAGGAAGCAGGCGAACACGAGAAGAACGAGAACTTGTTAACGCAGGTAGCATAAAACGCGACCGCGATTTGCGCACGCATCATCCAACGAGCATGAGAAGTCGAATAAGAAGAGGAAGCAGCAAGGAGCCACTCGCACACGCTGCCGCTGCTTTGGCCTCTGCTGCTGCGGCTGCCTTACCACCTGCCGCACTTGTTTATGACCCGGCGACTTGTTGGCGTCTCTCGCCGCAACTGGACACTGGGACAGCCCAACGAAAGCGGAAACATGCGCATCAAAGCACACATACACACACACACACACACACACACAAAATGAGCTTACATGGCATAAGAAGAAGCAGCAGCAGCATGGGAGAGGCTTTAAAAATGACCAGAAGAAGAGCGACGACTATAACATGACTGGATATTGGCAAAGCCGTCGACGTCGCCGTTGCCGTCGCCGTCGCCGTCGTCATCAGCAGCAGCTCATGCGCTTTGCTCTGGGGCCTCATTTCTTTTGCTTTAGTTTCAAACTGGTTACGTCGCAACCAGTTTAAATTCGTGTGTGTGTGAGTGAGTGAGTGTGTGTGCGCGAGTGTGAACGTGTGCTGGGGAAGCCGCTTATTGTTACGTTCTTTTCGCTGCTGCTTCTTCTACATATTCGGCCTTTGCTAATTGTCGCCGCAAATGTTAAAAAAAAAAAAAACAATTAGCATGCGTTTGTGTGTCTGTGTGTGTGTGTGTGAGAGAGCATGAGCTCAGCTTTGCGCTGCATATAGGTATGTGACGTCATGAAAGCAATTATTGCGTGCGCTTCAATACATTTAGATAAACTAACTGAGCGAATGTAAATATGTATGCTTAATGGCCATTTATTTGCAGGGCAACTTTAATTCGCTTAAACTCGCTCCACGTGCTGCCGAAGCGTGGCATACTTTGAGGCGTTGCCAGCTATTTTTTATTTAAAGTTGCGGCTTATCAGCGACGGCGTTCAAAGTGCAGCTCAATGCGATTAAAGTGCGTGTGCGAGTGTGTGAGTGCGAGTGTGTGTGTGAATACTAGTACAGGCATTCATGAGTGCTTTACAACTGAAAGCTAACGGCGCGAGACAATAATTCAGTTTGTGTTCGCTGATAAGCGGCGTATTAATCGCGCTGTATTTTGTAATTACGCACACACACACACACACACACACACACACACACGCATATTGCTTATCACAAACACTGTGCAAAAGGCAAACTGCGCAGGCAACACAGAGCCAATCAAGCGAAATGATGCGACCCGGCCCAAGATTCGAGAATGAGACAGTGGAATGTGCCAAAAAAGATGATGAACAACATTCAAGAGTGCGTCATTCGCATTGACTGGGCCACCTTCTTCCCCTACCCCTGCCCCTTCCTTCTCCATCTTTATAAAAATATTATGAATACCCTATACACTCTATAAAATGCTCGCCTAGTCGATTCAAGCTCTTTATCATAATATGTTTGTGTTGATTTATTTTTAGTTTTTCGATATTCCAGCAGCAGCGGGTATTCACATTTTGTCATTCAATATGCAACAAATGGACTATAAGATTTGGATCGAACAACTATATAATTTTGTTTTAATCAGTCGGAAATCTTACCAAACTTGGCACAGCTAAAAGTTCTCCATAAAATATTACAAAACAAGCGCAAAATGCTGCCAATATTAATAGAATAATATCAAAAAAACCGAATAAACTACAACTTGAAGGGTATTTAATCGTCGGCTACACAATGTTAAAATGCGTTTTTTTTTTTTGGTGGCATCATTGGGAATTTCGCCACAAATTGCGAGCGCCGCGTTTGTATTTATTTATAGAACATTTAACATTCGTCTATGCGTTTGCCGCAGACAGAAAAAGTTTGTTTCGCAGAAATTCAAATGCGAAGTGTACGCATACTTATGCAGCTGACTGTGACTGTGTTGTGCGGGGCACAAGGCACACGTTTAAAATTAGCAAACAGCGCAAAAATTCGCCTGTAAACATTTCACAAAATTTAGAAAAAGAAGAAGATAAATAAACTGGCATAAATATAGATATAGATATATATATATATATAGATATATTTATATATTTATATATGTGTGTGTAAATAGTTATATTATAGCTAGATTTGTTCGTATATTGCTTTGATGGCCATGGAAAAATGGCAACACTTTTCCCAGTCAATTTTCCTTTTTCCCCCATGTTGTTATTACTCTATTGAGCGTAAATATGTGTGTGGGTGTTTGCAGCCGCCACAAACACACACCAGCACACACACACACACACACTTGACGTCACTGAGTGAAATGTCAGTGTCAATGCGTGGGGGCCTCGACATTTAGTAAAATAAATAATAGATTAAACAGAATTTCTTTTGGCTTCAAGCAAACGAAATACGTATTGAATACCATTCGCATGGATCGCAAATAAATCAAAATAAATTAACACAAATTCAATTAAAAGGAATTTTCATAAATAAATTGTTATTAATTTCAAATCCATCCGTTTTTCTCTTGCAGAATCCACGGTGAATTCGCGTAAAAGTAATTTGGAAACGTCGCGCGACAAACTGAAGGGTAAGTTGGCGAATTTTCGTATTTCATATTTTTTTTATATTTATATATGCCTTATCATCGGTTGCGTGATTGATTTATATCATTGTCAAGTTGTCGCTATCGCAGATAATGTCAGGAACGAGTTGAAACCCATATAGTTTACGTTTTTCCTGACAGTTTGATTGATTGATTGACTGATTGATGAGCAGTGTACAGCTTTAACTGCAAGCTGAACTCTTTACGCATGTTTCGCTTTGTAATGCAAGTGAAAACTAAAGAGAAAATCCCCTTGAATGGGTGAAAATGCGCTTTAAACTTCGTTTATTTTTTATTACCAACTCATTCGCCACAATCTGTATTCTAAGGATCTTGGTGAAAACTCATTAGAGACGTGTTCCACACTTTTCGGCAAATCCACGCCGTCGGAAAACAGCATACAGAAGTTTCGATTCGAATTTTCACCCCTGCAGGTGGAATTCGCAAAACAGATGATACAAAAACAGACAAAGACTTCTAAAGCTCTACACTATTTCGAAAGGAAAACGAAAAGAAATCGATTTCAAATTGCATTTAAAAGCGTTTTTGGCCAGACAAAGCCGCTCAATATTTGCTCGTTAGCCCATTTGAAATGCACAAAGAAATTGAAACACGCATCGAGCACACTTAACTTAGCTTTGGATAGTGTCACGACACCTCTAAAGAGCTCTATAGACATATATACAGATATATATATATATATATATATCTGTCTATGTACTCGTGTACATTTATCTGTTGTATTTATAAAGTTGACCTTCGTGTTGGTTCTGTCGATTTGTCTGTCTGTTTTGGGGTTTTGTTGTCTTGTTCGTGTTATCAGTCGCAACGAAATTGAAATTCACCCCCAAACCAAAAATGTTGTGTGCCCCCTCGTCTCTGGGGTCTTCCGCTGTGCCAGTTATTTAATGGGTAATGCCGTTTAATACAGTTATTATGGGGCCTGACAAGCACCAGGCAATTACACATATAGACGAGCGCCCATTTATACGCTATATATATACTATATATATGTCAATGCTCGGCAATATTGATAAAAAAAAAAGTATAAATAAATATGTGTGCATGTGTGTGAGCATAAAATAGAAGTCTTCGTTTTGGTTGATAAAAAGCCGAATGGCGTGATTCATGATAGAAGTACACACACACGCACACACACACACACACACACACACACGCACAACAAATAAAGTAATAACAATATGCGTTGCTTGTGGAAGGGAAAAAAAAAAGAATCATATACACAACACTTCTAAAGAATTTAATACGTTTCAACAAGAGATTATGGCATAAGCATGCCATACTCTATAAGTTGCCAGCCATACATACATATATATATATATATATATACATATATACATATATTCAGCTAGCAGAGTCTTACGAACTTTTTTTTATTCGCCCGAGCGTTATTTATTTATATTTTTTGCCAGCTGCGTTTGCCATTTCACTTTCATTATCAAATTAGCTGATAGCCGGCTACGTGACGTAGATATGATATGGTGCTCAGCGATTTTATAAGCCTATACACACACACACACAGATACACACATACACATAGGTATTACGGGCCACGGGGCAATTCAATTGAAATTGGCCCAAAAGGGCAACAATCGCACCTGCGATAAAGTTCAATAATTAAAATGCAAAATTTGTGCGAATGGAAAATCAAATTTAGCATGGATTTTCTGGGAAACATTTGCAAACTAATTGTATTGCACTGTAAGAAAAATGTTTAAATAAGAAAAATTTGAAAAAACGCTCAATTTGGGTCTTATATATATATATATATATATATATAATCATTAAACTCGGAATGCAGAAATTCTATCAATATCGGACAACTATATCATATAGCAGGCATAGGAACAATCGGTGGAAAATTAAGTTGCTGTATGCAACAATTTTTTGGGTTTTTCCAAGATATCTTAACTATATTCGGCATTAACTTTTTTCATTGATGAGGGCAGGGTCGGGAGGGTCGGGAAGGGTTTTAAATCTTCGTATTAAAACAATTTGAAATTTCTAAAATATGACGCCACAAAAGAAAGCTCCATTTATTGAGCTTATTATTCAAAGTCAATTAAATGTTTTTTTTTATTATATTCAAACAAATAATAATGTTTTTTTTTTTTCTACCTCAATTATTTCCACCCCTAAGAACTTCCGTAATTTTCTGTTTAATTTATTGCATTTAGATAAACTGTCCCATTATTTAAGCACAAACTAGATTTGTTGCTGTGTACACATCCGACACCGCTTTGCGTTATTCTGGCCATTTCGTAAATTGATTTAATTATTGTTCCGAGAACACTTCAAATCTAATTAGGATGAGCGTTGCCCAAGGTGCAAGGATATTCGATTGCAATAACATTTGTGCCTTAAGCCCACGCACTCGAGCTCGAGATGGCCATGGCCAATGACACGGCCGGGATTTTCCGCAGAAGCAATTGAGGATCGCGGCAGGCTACCTGCCAGACCAGGACGTGCCAGCCCGGGACCTGCCAGCCCGGGACGTGCCAGTCCGGGACCTGCCAGTCCGGGTACTGCGCTAAGCCAACGTTTAATGGCCAGCTCGGCTCGGTTCCTTGCATGCAGTCAAGTGGCTTTAGTTTTCCCTTTTCCCTTTGGCCGTTTTTCCCATTTTCCCTGCGCCCAAATGTCAAGTATCTGTTGGCGCTTAGCTGCCTGCGTGCGCGTTTCTATTGATGATTTTATGGGTTTTACCCGCTAAATCTGTCAGTTTAATGATGCCAACCAGTCTGAGGTGCTGGCATTGTTGCCGTTGCAGGTAAAACGCAGCGTAAATCCATTGAGGCAAGTCATTAAAGCTGTCTCGCTGCTGTCTGGGGCAATGCGAAACTATCTGATAGCATGCCGCAACAGCTGCCGCAATGCAAATACGCTCGCCGCAAAGCTGCAGATACATTCAGAGCACATACAGATACAGATGCAGATGCAGATGCAGATACAGATACGTTTGCGAAGACAATCAGCGGCAGCTGAACATTCACAGCATATTTTCATTGGCGTCGCAAGTCTGCGATCGTCGAGCTGCTCGACTGCTTAATATAAAACCAAATTCATACAACAAGAAGTGGCAGGAATGTGCATGTGTGTGTGTGTGTGTGTGTCTGTGTGTGCGTCTGTATAAAAGTATCTGCGTGCCTCGCAAAGCTCTTTCACAGTCGCCCAACTGGCGATTCCCAATCAACAGCAGCAGCGGCCAAGGCGAGTCCACATCACACATAACCCCACAAACACAGACACACACACACACTCACACACACACTCACACACACACTCACACACACACAACAGCATGACACAATGAACTCATGCGCTGCGCTGATGCCTGGCCGCAACAACAATCTGACAGAGACACCGAACAACAGAGTGCCAGAGAATTATAATCGAGCAATAGACAACACAGTGCGACGCCAGGGCAAACGCAAACACACACACACACACACACACACACACACACTTGAGAGATACACACACACACACACTTACGCTCAGGGAGGCCAGCACATGGTAAATGTGTTTTAGATTCTTAATTTTGCGCATTTTCTAACAGCCCGATGCATTTCGAACACATTACATCATGTTTTCAATCTGATTGACGAGCTTGACTGATTGAACAAGAACGCACAGCTCAAGCTTTAAGAGCTGGAGAGCTGTATATTACAAAGTGTTTAACTTTTGTATGATTATGAAGAGTTAAGCTCGCGAATACAGCACATAAATCACGTTTTCAATCTGATTGACGAGCTCAAATGATTGATGAACAGCATACAGCTCAAGCCTTAAGTGCTAGAAAGCTGTAAGTCACCTAATATGACATATATGATATCAATGGGCTAGTCAGTCAGTCAGTCAGTTAAACGAGGCTTTGGCAAACTCCATCTGGTTGATTGATAGGCAGACTGATTGAAGAGCTATGCACAGACGAAACCGTGAATGCTAGAAATATGCATTGTTCACAATAGTTATCTTCTGTGCTGAAAGTGAAAACTTAGGAGGGGTTTTAACATATTCCCACTATAGGTGCAGCAAAATTGGAACAATTTGAATACATTAACTTAAAAATTTGCCAACAACTGAGAAATAATGTGGTTTTCAGTACGTTTTTCACGCAGTCGCAAAATGCTGTGTGTGTCAGTCAGTTCGACTCTTTGTCTGTCAGACTGCGTATGTTCGAAAAATCTTGTTGCTATTGGCAGTCGAGCACGGCCCCAGCACCAGCACCAGCACCAGAACCAGACCCAGTCCCAGCCCCAGCCCCGGTCGCAGTCGCAGTCAGCTGCCAATGTTCAATCGCCATGACTGTAGATACATTTCACGTATCTATCTACAATATGCGAAATACAAAATACAAATATGCAAATGCTCATGACGTGCGCGCACTTAGCGATTGCCGTTGTTGTTGTTGTTGTTGTTGTTGCTGTTGTTGTTGTTGCTTTAACTAGTTTTATGGTCGGGCAGCCATCGTCATTCATAGACGAGAGAAATACATATATCTCCACATATACATGCAGATATTGAGAATTGTTGTTGTTTTTGGTTGGTTGAATTGTGCAAATATTAACCGAAATTGACACGGCTTATACCCTGTAGCGCAAGGGGTATACACGACCAAAGTAACTGTGTTTTTACAGTAAAGAAACTTTCTCAAAATCAACAATTTTCCGCCATAATCTTTTTAAAAACAAAATTTGCCTAAATTACAAAGTTTAAAAATGTATTAAACTAAGATCGAAATTACTTATTTTAAGAACTTTTTGCTTAATTCCTCAAAAATCGATGCTCAAATGATGAAATACCATTCTGTGCTTGAGGTATTACGCTTATTTCAAGCATGTAAATTCCTTTAAAATAAGTATTTTGTACTTAATTCAAGCTTTTCTCTGCAGCTCATACTTAATTTAAGACTGTTTTACGCCAGCTTATCTCCTTGTGCAGCTAGAGTAGGCATTTTATAG